CATAAGATGGTAATATCTTCCATGACTACACTGAAGCATTGAAAAATAAAATGAGTAGTGGAATAGAAGTGTAATGCATGATATTCATCAACTCTGATTTTCTTGACAATTTCTAAAACACTTGAGAGCAAAGAACAAATACGTGGATGGGTAGGGCAGAGGAAGAAGTGTGTGAGTGTGTATGTAGTTAAGGCTAGAGTCCTCAGGAGCTAGGAACAATATATTATTATTATCTTATTCATTAATTTACCTCCCAAAGAACTTATGCAACTGCTTTAAGTCGGCACGTTGAGCTAACTATATGTCTAGTTAGCCTGACCTAAAAGATTAATTTTTCCAATCTGTCTCTCTTTTACATTGTCCTTTATGTCTCATTTGCACTCGTCACTAAGAATCTACTTAACTTTCACTTAAAGCTTCACCTTGAGCTTGCTCTTAATAATTCCCTCTGTCTTAAGTAATTTACCTATCTCTTCCAAGAAGTCCTACTGACATTGGAAGCATGGGCTCCTTGTGAAGACTTTTCTTAATCACATGAGACAGAATGAATCTCTCTCTCTATTTCCATTGTATATTTTGGAATTATTTTGGCACTTAGCACTTTATGTGCTCATTATTAGTTTATGTGGCTATTTCCTCAGCCAGAATAGATACCCCATGACTTAGCTGGGTATACCGTACTCTCAAAGATAGTACTTGTAACACAGCACACATGCAGTTAATGCAGGATGTTGAATGAATTACAGTCTCAGCCTCTTGGACTTCCATGTAGGCAATATCAAATAGTGAAGGATGCCAGCTTCAGACTTATATTATCTCATTCACATCCTGTCTCCATTGCTTTACTGACTACATAGCTTAAAGTTACTTAAGCATTATGTGTCCCAGTTTTGCATGACCCTAACAAGAGATTTCAACTTCATTGTGAAGATGAACAGTAGCTTGCAGAGTGCTTAGACCACTGCCCAGTCTGTAGTATGTGCAAGAAAAGTGTTAAGAATTAACAAGAGTAATAATTAGCTTCTCACATGTGATAGTGGGGGCTACATGAATGGTCTCAGTGGTGTCATCTGCTTTCAAATATATTCTAATAACATAGGTTCTATGTTCTAATAACATAGAACAATGAACTAGATTCTTTTAACTAAATGGGTTCTTTTAAAATGTCTAAAGCATGCTGAATATGTAACTACAGTTGATCCAGTCCCCAAGTTTGCATTTGCAAATTCAATTGCCACTAAAATTCATTTGTACCCTATAATCTGTGCCCTCGGTATGTTTGCAATCAGTTGCAGACATGTGCACCCTCAGAACTGAAAAACTTGTTTTCGGAAGTACCCATTCCCAGCTAAGGTTGAACAAAGAGATGCTCAATCTTCTTTCAGTTCTCATATATTCTTGGGCCTCCCCTGGTGGCACAGGCGGTTGAGCACAGAGCTGTGAAACTGTCTGCAGCCTCTGCAGCACTGGTTCAATCCCAGCCTGCCAGCAAGGGCCCCACATGGCGCAGCAGACCTCTCCTGTCACACCCGCTGCTCCCCTCAATAGTGTATTTCATTAGTTTTCCTGTTCTGCTCCCCACTCTGTCTCTGGTGAATCCTCTCACCCTGCTGTGCATCTGGCCCATAACCCAGTTCTTATATAAATAAATAAACAAACAAATAAATAAATAAATAAATCTTTAAAAAAAATAAACATATATTCTTTTTGTTGTCAAGTAACTGCTACCCTGTTTAAAAGCACCCCATGTATAGTATTGAAGTGCTGTCTAGTGTCCTGAGTGCAAGAAATATGTGGTGTGCATTGTGGAGAAATGACATTGTTTATTCAGATGTAATAGTGCAGTTGTCCAAGAGTTCAATGTTAATGAATTAATAATATTCAGTGAGGTGTCTTTAAACAGAGACACACATAAAGCAAAGTCTTATAGGAACGACTTAACAAAAAAACATGACAATCAAAGACAGGCACCTAAATCTGTATTTTCCTTAAAAGCAATATTTCAAAAGTTGTGATTTCAGTATTGGCAGTAATGTTTCCAGAGCATAACAACCACAAGTGTTGAGAATGCATATGGCTGGCATGTTCTTGGAAATTGTTAAAATGCAAGACAAGTCACTAACCGTGACTTTAGATGATGTTTTAAATTCTTTTACAAATAAATAAATAAATAAATAATTTTACCAAGAAAAAACTCAATCATTTGCAGAGTGACAGCTAATTTGTAGTAGATCTGCAAAGATCTGGAAGAAGAGTCTCACTTCTGTCTCTTCCAAGAGTACTGTTTTGCTTCAATTACATCGCCACAGGACAGAAGGGAGGTCAGTGTGACCCAGAGGGTTATGGGCAGGGGGCTCAGAAATACATTTCTTGACTCTTTGTTTTGCTTCTTTCAAATAGTCATTTATTTCTGCTACCTCAAAAGAACAATTTTGTGCTGTTATCTAAAAATAAATAAATAAATACATTGTATGAATTTTTTGTAGATCTTGGATATCAGTCCTTGTCAGATGTATGATGTGCAAATGTTTTCTCTCATTCAGTAAGGTGTCTTTTTTTTATTTTAATGATAGTTTCTTTTGCTGTGCAGATTTTTTTTTAGTTGATATAGTCCCGATTGTTTATATTTTATTTTGTTTATCTTCCTGTTTGGAGACAAATCCACAAAGATATTACTGAAATCTTTGTTGCAAAACGTTTTGTCTGTGTTTTCTTCTACATATGTTGTTTTTGTGTCTTATATCAAGGTTTCTTTTAATCCATTTTGGATTAATTTTTGTGCATGGTATAATACAATGTTCTAGTTTTACTCTCTTGCAAGTGACTGTCCGGTTTTCCCAACACCATTTATTGAAGAGATTTTCTTTTCTTCAGTGACATCTAAGTATTATATACACATTATTTTTTAAAGTTAAATAGTATCAACATGCTTATAAAAAAAGCCAATAGACTTCCATGCCTCACCCCAAACTCTGTTCCCATTCCCTTCACATGCCAACATTTACTACTTTTAGCTGTAATGTTTTTCCTGGAATTTGCTTTATGTTTCTCAACAATGTCCTTCTGTAGCTGTCCATAATTCACTCATTCACCAGTTTTAAATATCATGTATGGATCTAATTTACTGCAGGAATTTAGCACTCTTAGGCTTCCCTCCCCATTGCCCCTTCCTTAATCTTCATCCTTTTTTCTCCTAGTCCTGCTTCTCCTTTTCCTCCTTCCTCTTGGTTGAAGTACAAAATGCACTAATCCTAAGCATCTATTAATATACATATTAATTATTATATTAGTATATTAATTTTCTAGGACTGCCACAACAAATTCCACAGATTGAGTACAAAAACAAAAGGGATTTATTTTTTTCTGGAGGCAGAAAGGTAAAGGTAAAGGTATCAGCAGAGTAGTTTCTTCTGTGGCCTCTCATCCTGGCTTGTAGATGACCTTCCTCTTCCCTGATCGTTACATGTTCTTCCTCTCTGTGTGTCTGTTTCATAACCTACTTTTTTTGTGATAAGACCAGTCATAGTGAACTTAGGCTAATATGAATAATCAAATCTTGTTGGCCACTTTAAAGGTCCTGTCTCCAAATACAGTCACATTCTGAGTACTGGAGAAGAGGGCTTCAGCATGTGAGTTGGGGAAGGATTGGGAGGGGAATAATTCAGCCTATAACTTGGTCTTTTGACTATTGCTTCCACCTAAAATGTGAAATAAAGATGCACAATATTTCCATCACCCCCCAAATTCTCCTTCACTGAATATACAATTTCCTTCTGCCACTGTCACAGGCACCTCCCCATTAAATTCTGGGAGATTACTTTTAATTTGCCTTCTAATCGACCTATTTGATATTTAACTTGTGCAACCAAATTTTAATTGTTGGAAATTTTTAAAACTAGTTCATTATTTTTGTGTTACTTTCCTGCTTGTGGGTGCAATATCTTTTCTTTGATTATTAAGATATTAATTATATCTTTTTGTTTACTTTTTTGCTCTAAGCATTAATGCTATTTCTTTCAAGTGCCATTAGGTCCTTATGTGTTTATCTTTTTTGCTAGAGGCTTTTTTTATGTCTGCTGGTCTTAAATTCTCAGTTCACATAGTAATGAAATACTAAAAAACTGATTGTACAGTACAAATTTTAATGCATGAGAGGGAATTAGTAAGTGACCTCACAGCTAGGACATTGGCTAAGGACTGAGATGTTTTCCCCAGGGCCAAACAATTTTCCTGTAGGATGATTATCATTTTGCCTGGACAGTATACACCTGACTATACTGCTCTGATATCACTTGAAGGAAGAAAACTTGAGTGTCATGTCTTTGATTTAATAACCTTTGCCCTCATCCTTATTCTCTTCTCTGCCTGTTCTCTCTAAACTGTGCATTCTCATTCAATGCTCCTAGACAATAAAGCCCACTGCTCCAAGGTCAGGAAAGGTTAGACTGGTTTATCTTCATGTGGAGAGGACATTCACTCCATTTCTATTTCTCCACCATTCCTCAATGCTGCCTTCCGATGTCTTTAAGAAGCAACACTTTCCAGTCTTCCATGATTTTTTTTTCATATAAATCACCTTGTATTTCATAAGTAGCTCTTAAAAAATATTTAGAGTTCTTCTGTCTCCATTGAATCAGTTACCATACTTTCTTCCAATTATTACTTTCTTAGTTGTTAATGTGTCTCATCCGCTATAAAACTGCATTTTTATTTCCTATGGGTTTATACCCTTTAGAATATTTTACTGTTAATTTGGTGGAATTTGTAAAGGTGAGGCAATAATGCATGTAATTAATCAAGTGAACTGTATTTTTATCAAAATCAGGTAAATAGAAATACTGACAGATTATAGGAATAGATTTAATTTTCTTCTAAGGGGTAATCCCTGACATTTCTTGCCTCTCTGTTTTACTCACACTTTAAATTAGAATCTTTTCTTTGACTCGAACATGTCGTCTTTCTTTTCTCCAGTGTTTTAATTTACATCTATTATTTTTCAGAGTATCAAAGTAAGCTGGTTGCCTCCTCCATCAGGAACACAAAATGGATTTATTACTGGCTATAAAATTCGGCATAGAAAGACAACCCGAAGGGGTGAGATGGAAACACTGGAACCAAACAACCTCTGGTACCTGTTCACAGGTCAGTGTTAACCTGGTGTCACCCTGCAAAGTGTTGATAATGCTAAGAAAAAACATTTACTGCTACTTCAAGGAAACATTCATTTATTTTTTTCATGGTAGAGGACATAAATCTGAAGAAGAATGCTCTTCATATTGTATTTTCACATGATATTCTCAGTTATATTTCAATACAATTTTACTTCTGGGTCATCATCTTAATAAACATAGCACATGCTTTTTATCCATGTTTTAGCATTGTTGATTCACCAAAATCCCTTATTGTCTAGTAACTTCCAACTTTTTATCTAGTAACTTTTAAAAGTCATCTAATGAAATGGTCACAAGTTTAAGTCAGATTGATCCCCTCTTCCCTCAAACTCTAGAGGTGGGTTTGGGGTTAGAAAGTAGGCAGAATGGTAGTTTGAAGAGTAGAGAGGTTATTCTGCTTTTCATAATTTTAGATTCACATTTGAGCAATATTGGTAGAACTCATAGTAGGAAAAATTTTCTGTGAAATCTGGATCCAGTTTCCAGGCAGTGGAGATTTTTTTTTTAATTTAATAAAAGAATAATTGCATATTTCTTTAATTATAGGAACATTTAATTCAAGTTAGTCCACATTCTTGGGAAACAGTGCCCAGGCAAGAATTCAAAGTGATGTCTTTGGGGGTGTAAGCCCCTGAAAACCACAGTGAGGAAGGAAGGAAATGAATCAGAGAAATCAAATAATGGTAGAGTATTATTGAACTGATCATGTATATAGAACAGAGCTTGGTTTGCCTCTTGCAGTGTCTGCTGAAAGGCCATATGTGTCTTACAGTGGATGACTGGACAAGAAGTATGAGTAGTTTCTCTCTTCTTTCATTTGTCAAAGCCCATCAGTAAATTGTTATTATTCTGTATCTCTATACAGTGGCCTGGGAAGCCAGAACTTCCCATAAGTATGCAAGCAGGGATTTTCTTGTTGTCAGTCATCACATATTATGATGTTGGTTTGATGTGAGGTAGCAGGAGTACTCCATACTTTCTACCCCAAAAGAAGAGCATGAACCGTTATCAGGAATTTGGGAAGGAAGCAGGTAGTAGTAGCTCATGACCTGGTTTAGTGGGTAAAGTAGAGCAAATCTGGACTGCCACTTAAACTAGGTCTGGTATAGTAATGTAAACGAAAATTTTTAACATATAACTCATGGATAAACTATCATTACAGGGCCTCCCAGGTGGCGCAGTGGTTGAGCGCTGGGTTGCGAAGCTGCCCGCGGCCTCTGCGGCGCCGGTTCGATCCCCAGCTGCTCCCCGGCCACCAGAGGAGGGTCCCACATGGCGCACAGACCACTCCTGCCGCCCGCTGCTCCCCTCAGCAGTGTACTTTGGTCCTTCTGCCTGTTCTGCTCCCTGCTCTGGCTCTGGTGAATTCTCTCACCCTCCCGGCTTCTGACTGTACCCAGTGCTTGTATAAACCAAACAAACAAACAAACAAATAGATAAATAAATAAGACATGCCTCTAGAAAATTAAAAAAAAAAAAAAACTATCATTACAAATGAAAAAAGTAGCACCTTATTTTTTTCTTTCTCTGTAGAAGTACTCAGTAAATTTCTATTTAAAAATCATAACACATATTTTATAATATTTTATATAATATTAAATTCATAATTATTTTGTAAACATTTATATTACATTAACATACTGATATAATTTTTAAATATATATATTATAGCATTACAGAACACACACACACACATACACATTAACCTGCTCTCTCAGACTGCTGTCTAATAGTTGATTCGGTCTGTTTTTTTGCCTTAGTTTTTTTTTTTTTTTCTCCCAAGATAGATTACCAAAAATAAGATTACTTTCTTTACATCAGGACCAAATCTCTTAGGCAGGTATTGTTGAAACTAAGTGGAAATCATGGCTCTCTACTATATAATTTTAAAGTTTAGCAAAAGCCAGCATTCTGTCTTTTTTTCTGATGAAATAATGGAAAGAAGATAAAAATAGTTTAAGTTGAAGTGTTCATTGGATATTTAGTACAACATGTATTGTACTTTGAAAGAAATCACCAAAATTGAAAATGTTGCTGAAAAATGGTTAATGTAATTCCTAAGACTTAGTAATGGACTAGAAAAAGAGACTCTTAAGGATAATTTAATTCAGTTCTTGTGTTTTAATATAGACATTTGAAGCCCTGAAACTTTTTTTAATCACTGCTTTGTCTTTTTAAATGAAAGATTAAAAATACAAACTTCTTTTTATAGATTAATTAATTAAAGGATGAGTGTTCTAATGGAAAAACTATGGATTAGATGTTTAATTCACAGAAATATAAATGGCCACTAAGCATGATAAAATGTTCAATCTCGTTAGTTGGGAAATGTATATTAAAACAAAAATGAGTTATCATTTTCCTTTGACTAAAGTAATAGAGGAAAAAAATGAGTGATGCTACCCTGTTCTGGAAAGCATTGAGAAAAATATAAACTCTCTTATAATGCTTCTAAGACCAAAAAATTACATAATTTTTCTGGAGAACAGTATGTATATATGTGTTTTATATAACTATGTGTCTATATATGGATGTGTATATGCATGGTTGCATATATGTACATATATGTTTTCATAAAGGTATACTTCAGAGTTCCAATCACTCAGATTTATTCCAATTTTGCAGCCATATGTTTTGCAGTTTTTAATCTATAAATGTGTTAATTGTTACTTTAATAGCAAATAATAAAAAAGACACTACTATAGACAATTACCTAGAAAATTCAGATTATAATATGGTAGGATACTATAAAATAGTTATGAAAATATTGTAATGTAAAAATGTTAAATTCCATGTTAAATATTTAAAGCACATTAAGTAAATAATTCAGTTATTTATAAACCAAAAAAATAATTCATATAAGAAAACATTTATAAATACCAAATGTTAATACTGACTGTTACTTTTGTAACAATAAAAATTTGTATCTTTAATTGTATGTGTTAAGTGAAAAAATGACATAAAATATCAAGACTAATGTCAATCACTAACAATTTTCTGCCCATTAAGCAGCTAAGAGGAGACTGGTCTGGAAAATAAGTAAAGAATAGTAGTCACATTGCACATTCCCACTTCTGGTGGGAATTATTTAGTATTTATGTTTTTTTCTCCAAATAGTACTTAAAGCATTCAACTCACTAGTATTAAGCTAAGAAGATACCTCCTTAAATATACAAATTTTTAGAATTTTCTCTCTCAGAAGGTAAGACCTTGTTTTCAAGTAGCCATACAGAGCAGCCAGTATTAGCTTTTTCACTAGCACACGTCATCCTAATTAGTCCGAGAGCTTCCATGCAAATACCATAAATATGGTGGTATAAAACAATAAAATGTATGTTGCAGAAGTCCAGATATCTAAAATCAGGGTTAGTACAGTTCCTTCTACAGGCTCTGAGCTAGACTCAATCCTATGTCTGGCTCCTAATACCCTCTGGTGGTTATTGGTAATCCTCATGGTGGTTGCTGGTAGTCCCTGACTTTCCCTGGCTTTTAGAGGCGGTGCTCTTCTGATCCCTACCTGCATCTTTCCATCATCTTCCTCTGTGTCTCTGTGTCCTCACTTCTTATAAGTGCACAGTTCATTGGATGTAGACCTACTAAACCCCACAATGGTTTTACTTTGAGATCCTGAACAAATTATATCTATTAATACCCTATTTCTAAGGAAGGTCACATTCTGATATTTCAAGTATGCGTAAGTTTGGGGGAGACATTATTTAACTCCCTATGAAGCAAAAAGTTTCCCAAGTCTGCTGCTTGGGGGAGTTTACTGCTTAGATTCTGCTGCTTGCTGGTGTGGAGAAGTTGCTGGGTGTATTGCGTATCCACAGTAGTAGCACAGCTACCTTGACACCCATCCCAAACAATAAAGAATGCTTGTGGTATGATGGATGGGGTGACAAGTTTCCTCATACAAACTGTAAAAAGCCTTACCATCCCTGCAATTTAGGGCACAGTCTTTCGGGAGTGATCCCACTGAGCCCGCTGGCATGACAATCAAATCTTACTCTCCACCTCTATGAGTGCCACCTGATTTCTCTGAGAAATTTCCATAACATCCACAGACTATTTTCAATACTTTTCCTCTCAAGGACAATCATTTTGAATTATCCTACAATAAATTTTATTCAAAAATAAATAACTGTCATATATTGTATCCATCTAAAATCTGTGATATTTTATCGATCTAGAATCTTAACAATTAAAACTTCTAATCAACATGGGATAAATCATCACTACTCTGGTTTATATCATTCTAGCCAAAAGCAAAGAAATGGGATCAATTAATTGTTATTAAAATAGCTCATAAATGTCCATTCCCATCTTTATAGATTTGTCAGACACAACTCCAAATATGACTTTTTCCAATATTTTTCATTATTTTTTTATTGACATAACATTGGCTTATGTAATGCTTCATGATTCAAAGATACAGGGTTATACCTCTTCAGATGTGTGTTACCACAACACACCCACCACCAAGGTGGCCTCCAAATTTGAAGTTTTCACTCACACTGTTCCTTTTTCATTTCAAGTTATAAAATGAATTTGTGAATGCAAACATAATCTCAGCAGTTATATTGTAACTGTTATAATATTTACTGAAAAAAGGCACACTGAATTCAATTTAAATTTGAACAAAAGAAATAGAACCAGCCAGAGAATAGCTTCATACTCATAAAATACTAAAGCAAGTTTTGCAAAGTCTCTGCCTTCCTCTTCCCTGCTTTATGACTCAGCATCAACAATACCTGTTAACAGCATTCTAAATATTGTGGGAATGCCTTCAATCAAAGAATCAGGAAGAACTGTATACACACTTAGATTGCCTGGGATTTTGTCCCCAGAATAGATTTAGTAATTTACACACTTGGTAGTAAGCAGAAGTGTAAGGGGGCAGGAATGGGCACAGTGCAGGTTTTCTTATCCAGCAGCCTGGCTAAAAGGAGAGAGTCCTGGAGCCCTCAGTGG